TGGTTTTCAGCACCAGTTGATGTAGATTTTTAAAATAAAGCTATGGTAATTAAAAAGACAAAAGCTAATATTTTGTCAAGTTCACGTTCCCCAAATCAACATAGGTCATGAAGGTCATATTTAAAGCTTCTGTTCTACCTAATGACGGAGCACTGTTCAGACATACCAGGCTTTTTCCCAGTTACACTTTAAGTTTATCAATTGTGGATGTTAGGTCTTTGTAACACTGGGTGGTGTACATCTTAAATGGAAATGTTAGAATTATTATGACCTTTGAGAATATGAAGGGAAAGCTGCACACGTCAAAAATATAAAATAGAATCCCTTTCTGCCAGTGGGTGATAGGCCCTGTTCTGAAATAAAGTGTTCAGAGTGTGTGTGAGAGGTAAGGTAAACACATTGTCCTTCTTGACCTGAGCATACCTGACATCATGTTTTCTTTATTCTCTATTTTGTGTGTTGTTAAGGGGGGGGCTTTTTCTTTTAGACTGCTTTTGGAACATTTCTATTTCATAATCAGGTATGTTTTCCTCTAGAGAAGCTGGTTTGCCTAGGTTAAATCAGTGTAGTGAGGTACATAGTGACCCTGTGTTTTCCTGAATGGATTTATTTTGCCATATGGCAGGTTAGTGAGTCGCCACGATAGATTTGTAATGGGAAAAGGGCTGTGCAGGAGAGGATGTGCGTGATCAGCAGATTTATAGATCAGAAAATGAAATCGGAAGAAAGAATTTCCAGAATGCCCTTTCCATTTGACAGCTTTCCAGGGGGAGGGTGTGGAATGGTTTTTTAGTGTTTTTCTCTCTTGGCTTTTGGTTGTTCTAGCATATTTTTTTCTAGCACAGGAGCTGATATTCTAAGGCATCAGTGTTCTGGGTATTGTGTTGCTGTATTCATATTTACAGAAATATTCTCTCTGTAGGATTTGAAGCTGTGCTATTTTTCATATGATAAGATCTCAGTAGCAATTAAATTCCTGAAGACATATTAAGGCTAATATGGGGATTTGCCAGGCTTCAGGTTTTGAGTTCTACGGGGAGGCTATTCAGATATAATTCAGCTAGCACTGACTCTTTTAAAGGAAAGAAAACAAAAGGAAAAGCTGAGTGAGCTAAAGATAGTATGTTCTGCTGTGGTTAAGTCTGTGCTGTCATAATAACACGTCCACTAGCCACATGTGACTATTTAAATCAATTAAAATTAAATAAAAGTTTAGTCCCTTAGTCTTACTAGTACATTTCAAGTGCTCAGTAGTCACATGTGAGTTGTTACTCAGTATGGACAACACAGATTGAGAAATTTCCATCACTGGAGAAAGTTCTGCTGGACAGAGTTGGTCTAAGTGGAAGATTTTGATAAATAAAATTCTTCCTTTGATTTCTATGAGTTTTTCATGTCCATATAATTTACTGGACTAATGCAGTAGTTCCAAAGTTTCAATGTGTAACAGAAGCATCTGTAGAACTTGTTTAAATTGGAGACTTTAGAAGCCTTCCTTAGACTTTGATTCATTTTATCTGGAGTAGTAGGTAGGAATCTGTACATACAACAAGTAGCCTAGGGATTTCTGATGCTGATAGGTAGCTCAAGGAATACATTTTGAAAAATTAGTAAATTAGTGACAAACTTGGGAATTGCCTATCTCTTGATTTTCTTACCCCTTCATACTTTCATTACTGATTTTCTTTTATGTCCCTAGTAACTAGTTATAAGCATCATATGTGTCCAGTGTGTACTCTTAATGGGTATTAAGTTGCAAAAAGAAAATTCATTTATTTACCATTTCACCTTTTTAATGTATATGTATTTTAATTTGGCTGTGCCATAAGAAAAGTGAAAAACTGGTTATTTCAGTACTATTCTGGACCGTGTGGGAGGGTCATTCTGACAGAGTACTTTAGTCTAAGAATTGAGCACCCAAGAGTCTTGGCATTGTAAGAAAGGAAAAAAATTTGAGCTGAGCATGGTGGCTCACACCTGTAATCTCAGCACTTTGGGAGGCTGAGGCAGGAGGCAGGAGGATGGCTTGAGCACAGGAGTTCAAGACCAGCCTAGGCAACATAGCCAACCCTTGTCTCTACAAAAAAATTTTTAAAAATTAGCTGGGCATGGTGGCATGCATCCATAGTCCCAGCTATTCAGGAGGTGAGGCACGAGGATCACTTGAGTCCAGGAATTGGAGGCTTTGGTGAGACGTGATCATACCACTTCACTTCAACTTGGGTAACAGAGTGATACCTCAATTCGGGAAAGAAAAAAAAAAGAAATATAACACATGATTTCCCCAGGGCATATGTTCTAAAACCCCCAGGGGATGCCTGAAATCACAGATAGTCCTGAACCCTATATATACTATGTTTTTTCCTGTTCATACATATCTATGATAAAGTTTAATTTATAAATTAGGTATAGTAAGCGATTAACAATAGTAGTAAAACAACAATCGCAACAATATACTGTAATGAAAGTTATGTAAATGTGTTCTGTCTGTCTCTCAAAATACTGTACATCAGGTAACTAAAACCTTGGAAAGTGAAGCTACGGATAAGGAGGGACTACTGTATATCTAATAAGAAAATGGATAAACAGAAGAGAAGTGACATAAAGATCACTTAGCAACAATTAGAAAAATAATATACAGTGAGTCCCCTATATACAAGCCTTTAGATTTTGAACTTTCAAAGATGCAAACATGCATATGTCCAATTTTGTAAGTTAATTCATGTGTCTGGCATACATCGTCACATGCACACATCCTCTACTAGTGTTTGTGATTTTGTGTACTTTAAGGTATAGTACTGTATAGAGTACAATAGTACAGTATCTTTATTTTAAGCCCAGGATGTCCAGAAGCAAGCATAAAAGCAGCCATGATGTAGCTGTACAGTATAAACCTTTTACAGTACTGTACTATAATATATAGCTGATTTTGTTAGTTAGGTACCTAGGCAAACTTTGTTGGACTTAAGGACAAATTTGACTTACAAATGTGCTCTCGGAACAGAACTGGTTTATATGTAGGGAACTTACTGTAGTAGAACCTTAAGTCCTGACAGTAATCAAAGGAAAAAGCATGATCTGATTTGATTGAGCATGATCTAGGCTACTTCCCTTTGACATGAAGGTTTGTTATTTAGGGACATGGCTCTGCCATCTGGAATGGGCAGTGAAAAAAGGAAGAATCTCTAATTTGGTCCTGCAGTAGACAGGAGGTGCCAAAAAATGTATATATATTTTAAGAGCTGTTATCTATGTATTACTTTTCAAAGTTGAATTAAATTACAGTAGCAATGTGTAGTATGATATTCACTCAACCTTGTTTCCATCGTTTTCTTTGACTGTCCTGCCCATTGCATAGTGATGCTAACATTCATTTGATTAATGCCATCTTTTGAGTGAACATCATACTTAAAATATGTATACATTTTTTTGGCATCCCTATATTTGTTTATTTGTGGGTTTTGGCAATAGGACTAGACCAAAAAGGGCATCTGGAAAACTAAAGGGACTAATCATAGTCCATTGGATTTAGAACTTCTCTGGGTTGACCCCCATAATCATGGGCCTGACATTTGCTCACAGAAGTGAAAAAGTGGAGAAGAAATAGAGGTGAAAAAAGTTCACTTTAGAAGAGGAACTACCTTTAAGGGATTCTAATATTGGAAACAAGAAAAAAACCTGTTAATGGTCCAAAGGACAAAACTTCTCTTTTAAAATGGGGTCTTCTAGCCAGGCTCGGTGGCTCAGCCTGTAATCCCGCACCTTGAGAGGCTGAGGTGAGTGGATTGCCTGAGCCTGTGGGTTCGAGACCCACCTGGGCACCTTGATGATACCTCATCTCTACAATAAATAAAAAAATTAGCCGGGCGTGGTAGCATGCGCCCGTAATTCCAGCTACTTGGAAGGCTGAGACAAAAGGATCGCCAGAGCCCAGCAGGTCGAGGCTACGGTGGCCAGGAGTGGCCACTGCACTCCAGTCTGGGTGACAGGGTGAGACTCCAACTCAAATAAATAAATAAATAATAAATAATAAAATGGTCTTCTAACTTCTTTCTCTTGAAGAAATTACTCACTCGGCTTCTCTGATGAACAATATTAAAGAAGCATTGTTAGGAAGAGGAAAAAATGCTCAGTATGTTGCCACTGTTTTCAAAAACGTGTGTGTGTGTGTGTAATGGACGATTTGTTGTTTTTTTTTCTTCTGTCTTGGTAGTTTGGTTAAATATTGTAGTAATACTGTACTATCAGGAGCTGCTCCACCTTGTCCTAAATCAGATTTATCCAGTTCTTTACTTACCTATCCTTTTGGTAAAGAAGGTGAAAGTCTCCCCATTTTGTCTACAAAAATAAATGTCTCCAAAAAGACATGTATAAAATGTTATTTAATTTTAAAAAGAGCAACTGGTGTTGTGGCATGCTTCTATAATCTCAGCTACTCCAGAGGCTGAGAAGGGAAGAGATTGTTTGAACCCAGAAGTTTGAGGCTGCAGTAAGCTATCATAGTGCCACTGCACTCCAATCTGGGCGATAGAGTGAGACCTAGACTCATAAAAACAAAAACCCAAAAAACCAAAATGTGATTTAACTGTCTACCTCCTTAGCCGGTTATCATAAAAATGATACTTTGTCCTGTGGAGGACTTTTTCTTATCTTTACCTTATCCTGTTATCTTGCTTTGAAATACATTGAAATGGACTTAAGATTGCATTTTTACTTGAGGCTCCTCATCGCTCTTGCAAGTATGTGAAACATCATAAAGTCTCAGATAAGTGCTACCCCCCCATACAGTATTTTATAATTCCTTTTAAAGGAATTTAAATTGTCCTTCTGTAATTCTCCATAGTTAAACCAAATGTGCGTTTTAAAAAATCTTTCCATAGAAAGAATTGCCAAATGAATGAATGAGACTAGTGTTGAGATAACCAATTACAAGCCTTCTTAAAGGAATATATTTTGCTGAAAGTATTTCTTCCCCTTATTTTGGGGCTCTATCTTGCCAGGTTAAGAAAGTGGCGACTTCTCTGAGACATGGATAGATGCAAACATGTAGGGCGGTTACGGCTCGCCCAGGACCACTCCATCCTGAACCCTCAGAAGTGGTGCTGCTTGGAGTGCGCCACCACCGAGTCCGTGTGGGCTTGCCTCAAGTGCTCCCACGTGGCCTGCGGCCGCTACATCGAGGACCATGCACTGAAACACTTTGAAGAGACTGGGCACCCGCTAGCCATGGAAGTCCGGGATCTCTACGTGTTCTGTTACCTGTGCAAGGACTACGTGCTCAATGACAACCCGGAGGGGGACCTGAAGCTGCTGAGAAGCTCCCTCTTGGCGGTCCGGGGCCAGACGCAGGATCCACCGCTGAGATGCGGGCGGACGCTGCGCTCCATGGCCCTGGGCGAGGACGTGGTCCCGCCGCAGCGCGCTCCTCAGGGACAGCCGCAGATGCTCACAGCTCTGTGGTACCGGCGCCAGCGCCTGCTGGCCAGAACGCTGCGGCTGTGGTTCGAGAAGAGCTCCCGGGGCCGGGCCAAGCTGGCGCAGCGGCGGCAGGCGGAGGCACTGGAGCGCAAGAAGGAGGCGGCGCGGCAGCGGCGGCGCGAGGTGAAGCGGCGGCTGCTGGAGGAGCCGGCCAGTGCCCCTCCACGCAAGAGTGCGCGGCTGCTGCTGCACGCGCCCCGCCACACGGTCCCAGTCGCTGCCCGCCCTGCCACCCTCCCTACCTCCCGCAGAGCGCCCGCTGTTACGCTCAAGCAGCGCCGCCAACCAGCCGTGGCCCCGGGTGTCACGGGCCTGCGCAACCTGGGCAACACCTGCTACATGAACTCCATCCTCCAGGTGCTCAGCCACCTCCAGAAGTTCCGAGAATGTTTCCTGAACCTTGACCCTTCCAAAACGGAACATCTGTTTCCCAGAGCCACCAACGGGAAGGCTCAGCTCTCGGGGAGACCGGCTAGCAGCTCAGCCACTGAGCTGTCGTCGAGGAGCGACAGGGCCGAGTCCTGCGAGCGGGAGGGTTTCTGCTGGAACCGCGGGGCCTCCATCAGCCGGAGCCTGGAGCTCATCCAGAACAAGGAACCCAGCTCGAAGCACATTTCCCTCTGCCGCGAACTGCACACCCTCTTCCGAGTCATGTGGTCCGGGAAGTGGGCCCTAGTGTCGCCCTTCGCCATGCTTCATTCGGTGTGGAGCCTAATTCCTGCTTTCCGCGGATATGACCAACAGGATGCGCAGGAATTTCTCTGCGAGCTGCTGCACAAAGTGCAGCAGGAACTTGAGTCGGAGGGCACCACACGCCGGATCCTCATCCCTTTCTCCCAGAGGAAGCTCACCAAACAGGTCTTAAAGGTGGTGAATACCATATTTCATGGGCAGCTGCTCAGTCAGGTAGGTGTGTGCCCACCTTAACCCCAACTCCGCCTAGCTTAACAGAGGAAGGCTTATATTTTTAGGCTTCCTGTGAATGCCTCTGGATTATTGGGCTAGTTAGGATAACCAACATTTCTTGTGATATGCATATTTAAGGGCGGTCATTGGACCTTTCATCCTACTGTACCGATGGCTTTGTTGGTAAACTTGCCTTTTTGTCTCTTTTAGTCATGTCACTTTATTTTTAGTGAATATCTTTGTTAATGAAGGTATGAGTAATACAGTCTTATTGTTATAATTAAATACTCATTGTTGACATACCATCTTTTGATCAGTTTTAAGAAACTGAATAGTTTGCCTGTAACCCTAGTTCCATAGTAGTTTAGGAGAGCATTTTTCCTGTTTTGCTTACAAGGAAGGGAGGTAGCTGGGATCATGCTAAAGGCCTATGCAAGCCTCCTTCCTGTTCCTTATTACTTTTTATTCCTTGGGTTTTTGGCCATGCAGAGGGCCTAAGCAAAGATTCGTAGTTAGGCCTTGTGAGAATATATGGAAAGATAATTTTTGGTTTTGTTCCCTGCCTGTCATGGTGGCTAACACCTGTAATCACAGTACTTTGAGAGGCCAAGGTGAAAGAATTGCTTAAGCCCAGGAGTTCGAGACCAGCCTGAACGACATAGTGAGACCTGGTCTGTACAAAAAATTATAAAATTAGCTAGGTGTCGTGGTGTGTGCCTGTTGTTCCAGCTGTTTGGGGGAGGCTAAGGCAGAAGGATCTCCTGAGCCTGGAGTCTGAGGCTGTGGTGAGCCATGATTGTGCCACTGTACTCCAGTCTGGGCAACAGAGGTGAGACCCCCCCAACTCAAACAACAATAACAAAAAATAACCTGTCAGGGCACAGAAAGAGAATTTTCATAGTCAGAAGCCTGGGAGGGAGAAGTTAGATTCAGGTAAAACCTGTACACTGTGCTGCTGAGGTTTTGTGTCTTGGGTTTTAGGATTTTGAAAGAATGATGAATGAAATGGAAAGAGAAAGTTTATTTAGGCTTTTTATTTTTTAGCACGTGAAAGGGGAGTATTTATAACACTTCCTCTGTCCTTCTTTCCCTGAGGAAGAAAGGTGCATGTGGGAGGGAGGATGTAGTGAGAGAAGATCTAACTACAGTACTTTGAGACTGCAGACAGAGATCATCAGTGTAGGGCTGTTGCAGGAAACAAGGGCAAAACAAGAGGCAAGTTGGACTGCATGGAAGGTCTAAAGTCAAGAGGAGGAATGCCAGAGTGACAGACACAGACAGGGACCCACCTGCAAATACTCTATCTTAGCATGACTCTTTAAAAGACTGCACAGCAACTTATGGTCTGTGCTACTGCACAGTTAAATGTAGAGCTACCTTGGGAGAGTAGAAGAGGAAAAGGGGGTAAGTATAATCTCTGTGCAGTGTGACTTTTTTTTATTTCAGTTAGCATCACATAGTTAGAAATATTATCAGCAGCATATATACTCTCATCATTTTAAAGTTATGTTTACAATTTTAATATTACTATTGCTTTTTTGAAAAGTATACAGTTAGTTTTGGTTAAGTTATATGCTGGTTTTTTTTGGAGTCAGGGTCTCAGTGTGTCATACAGGGTGGAGTACAGTGGCAGTCATGGCTCACCACAGCCTCAAAACTCCTGGGTTCAAGTGATCCTTGCACCACAGCCCCAAGTACCTAGACTACAGGCATGCATCACCATGCCTGGCTGATTTGTTTATTTTTTGTAGAGACAGAGTCTCACTATGTTGCCCAGGCTGGTCTAACTCCTGGGCTCAAGCAATCCTCCCAATTCAGCCTCCCAAAGTGCTAGTATTACAGGCATGTGCCACCACATCCAGCCATATGCTGCCTTTTATAGAGCAGGTAAAAATTATGTGGGAAGCATGGAAATTATATGATTTGTAAATCAATCTTTTCATTCTAGGTCACATGTATATCATGCAGTTACAAATCCAATACCATTGAGCCCTTTTGGGATCTGTCCCTGGAATTCCCTGAACGTTATCACTGCATAGAAAAGGGGTTTGTCCCTTTGAATCAGACAGAGTGCCTGCTCACGGAGATGCTGGCCAAGTTCACAGAGACAGAGGCCCTGGAAGGGAGAATCTACGCTTGTGATCAGTGTAACAGTGAGTACTATGTGACAAAGAGGGGGAGGGGGAGAGGATAGTGGGAGTGTGCAGCTGGAATATCAGTTTAAGGTGCTTCTTTTTCTTCTTCAGTCAAAAGTAACACTAAGGATATTGAGTGGTTCTAAACATCTTATAAGAAAATCTTTTTAAAAGAAAAGAAAATTTCTCCCTTTTTTTAAAACAAGTATATAGACTTTAGACTTTATGTATTAAAAAACAAAACAAAGGCCTAGGAGTTGTGCCTCCTTTGACCCCTCCTGATTGACATCAGTTATTCTCCTGGGAGGGATTTGAAAGTGTGATTTCTGAAATGGGGCTTCTGAGAATGTTGGTACTTAGCTTCAGATTGCTCTAGGGCCCCTACTTAAATTCATAAATGTAGAGCCTGACAGTTCTTATTTAATCTAAATTCAGGTGGTGCAGCCTGTTTTAGGAGTGTAGTATCAGAAAACATGCTTTTGTGCTGGATTGATAGATTTACAGTCTGTCAGAAGTGATGCTAGAGATTGATAGAGCAGGACCAGTCTTAAGGTGCCTTGCTTAGTGGCAGCTTCATGGATATTTTCTGCATATTCTTTTCTTCACATGCCTGAAAAGTTTCAGAGAGTGTCAGGAGGAAATTTTCTTTCATGGCTTTAATTTTAAAACAGAGCTCTTTCCATAGGTTTCCATGGGTATCTTATGCAGGGCCCTTCTGCCTTGACTCACTAACACCTACTACTTCTGCTAAGCCAGCGTGGAGAGAGAAATGGCAGAACAAATAAGTGGAAGCTCAGGTTTGGTTTTTTTGAGTTGGAGTCTCACTCTGTCACCTAGGCTGGAATGCAGTGGCATGCTTACCGCCACCGCAGCCTTGATCTGCTGGGCTCAGGCGATCCTTCCGCCTCAGCCTTCCAAGTAGCTGAACTACAGGCATGCACCACCATGTCCAGCCAAATTTTTTTTTATTTATTGTGGAGATGAGGTCTCGCCAAGTTACCCGGGTTGGTCTCGACCGGTGATCTCAGGCAGTCCTCTCACCTTGGCCTCCTAAAGTGCTGGGATTATAGGCATGAGCTACCACGCCTGGCAGGTTTGGTTTTTATGGCATGTAAATATTTGGAAACTAAAAGTATAAAATTACTGGATTGTACAGAGGCCTAGAAATCAATTTGCAGCCATATAATATTTTGGACTACAAGGTTTTTTTTGTTGTTGTTTTGTTTGTTTGTTTGTTTTTGAGTTGGAGTCTCACTCTGTCACCCAGACTGGAGTGCAGTGACCACAGCCTCGACCTGCTGGGCTCTGGCAATCCTTCCGCCTCAGCCTTCCGAGTAGCTGAAATTACAGCCGCGCGCTACCAC